AAAATTGAAATTAAGGCTTCCTACAAACATAGCCAAGAGCATGAACGCTAATCTTGAACGTATTGAGGATTCGATCAACCTTCAAGGTTACGGTGAAGCGAGCAAAACAAAAACGATGGCTGGGGTGCGGGGCCAGGCACAAGGTGGTCGAAACGGGACTGAAACAGCTTCAGTTTATAGAGTGACGACTTCAGCACAAACATTCACTACTTGCATACGAAAACAAGCAAACACAAACAGACAGAAAAAACAGGCGGGTAAACAAAAAGCACACAGTCAGACACATACGCATAAACACACAACAAGTCTAGGTAACGTCGTTTCGTTGCATGTCGACGACAACAACGACAATGACGACCGACAGACAACTGCGAGGCGGGTAAACAACTTCCGGTCGGCCAATCGGCCAGTCCACCTTCGCACACCGTCTCTCACCTGGTGTGTCCAGAACCGAACGCTGTTTGGTCGGCTACAGGAAGCAGTTGCAACAACCGTTGCTGGCACGATGCCGGAAGCTTGCGGAAGTTGTCCAATGTGACGAGGGCCTGCACCGAACGCTTGCCGACGAACGACAGCAGATTCGGCCGACTCAGCTTCTGACCACCGCCATTGTCGCCCGCAGCACCGTCAGTGCGTTCCACACACTCCCTGGCCGTTACCTGCTTCTTGCGTGCATTCTTGATCGACTAGAAATGCAGCGACACGATAGAAACGCGCTACAACAGTCAGACAGCACGAGAAATGTCGAAAAAGATAGGCGGTACCGATTTAACGTTGCGTTTCGTTTTGGCCATTCAAAACTTCGTCCATGATCCCTCACATCAGCGTATGTATGACTAAAACGCACAAACGTTAGTTTCACATGAAATGCAACAACAATTCGAACCACCTTCCGTGCACACGGTATAGAATCTCTAAAAGCAACATTAACCTCGTTACCTCACACACTCAATCAATCAGTTTCGAAGACGCGCATCGTTTAGGGTCGCAGAGACAGATGCGTCTCCAATGTTCCCGATTTCATGCTAGTGCTTGAGCTCCGGCAGAAGACAACCAGAATCTAATGCAGAATCCTTCCATATATTTGAACCAGGTTGCTTCTGGGCCTTCAGTCGGTTGGCTGGACAAGTAAAGTTGCTGCGACTTCTTTTCTGGAGGCATTCGCAACAAGTGCTCAAACCATCGAAGCTGTGACTTCACAGTCTGAAGAAGCAGCGGCTGTAAACCAAGGCTCTCGCAGAATTCCTTATTCCTGACCATGTTGAGGCACGTGAAGCCAGCGACTTATCTCAGAAAGCCCATTTCAGCCGCTTGTACCCGCGATAAAAGTTTTTCAGTGATGGTCCACGATTCATGACCGTAGGTAAGTATGGGGATAAAGATCGACTTGAATATTGAAAGCTTGTCGAGACGAGTAAGGCCAGCGACTCGTCTAAGAAAGCCCATTTCAGCAGCTTGTACCCGGGTTCGAAGTTTTTGCATGATGGACCACGATTCTGCCGTAGGTAAGTATGGGGATAAAGATCGACTTGAATATTGAGAGCTTAGTTTTCAGACTGAGCTCTGCTTCAGTCACAGTGGATCTTGGCAGTTTACGCAGAACGCCACTGCCCACTCCAATTCGCCTATCGATCGCATACTCAAATTTTCCAATACTACTAAACATGACTCCTATGTACTTGAACTTCTCCATCTGTTCCACTGCCTCTCCGTTAATCTGAAGAGAGCAACGGGCAGGAAAACGAGAAAGCGCTAGGCTTTTCGTTTTAGATGCGTTCACACGCATGCCGGACACGTCCCACTTGGCTACGAAGCTTTCTAGTGAGCAGTGTATATTAGTTTCAGAAGATGCCAATAAAACAAGGTCGTCTGCAAACAGCAATCTTCTCGTCTTCATAACTACTACACCGATACACTCATCGCCTTGGCTGCTCATGATTATTCCACTCATCTACAACACAAATAGGAGAGGGGACAGGACGCAGCCTTGGTGCAGACCAGTGCCAACGCTAAAGGGTCTCGAATTAACGCTATTTACTCTGACGAAACACCATATATCAGCACTGAGTGAACGGATGGCTCGTAACAACTGGCCATCAACGTCATACGTATACAGCACGACCCGAATTTGCACGCGATCTTATCTGGCCATAGTTGCCCGTAGCCAGGCACGTGCTAACCAGAATATGCCCAATTCGTCTAAAGCTTTAAACATATCAGGGAGGATTTCATTGACTTGAGCAGTTTCAATTTTTTAAGCCTTTCACAGCTTCTGTGACTTCGCTCGCTGAAAGGCTAGTATCTGTTGCCTGCTGCTCTTCAGAGGAATTTTCCAGTGGTGCTCAGAGCTAAGCAGTTCGTCGAAGTACAATCTCCACCGCCGAAAAATGTTCCCGTCCTCGGTAAGAAGATGTCTAGACGTGTACTTCAAGACTCTTAGACTGTCCTTCTTTTCACCTCGAAGCCGGCGGATGGTCAGCCAGAATACCTTACTTCCCGTCTGGAAATTCGATTCCACCACCTCACCAAACTTCTCCCAGGAATGCACGGCTCAAATGCAACCAT